CAACGGTACATATGTTGCCATCATCGTTTTCAAAACATTTTCTTTCTTTCTCCTTAAGACCTTGGAAGACAGGTGAATGTTAAGCACATGCCAAAGACCTGTAACCATCAAGGTGGCAAAAGAGTGAGCCAGTTCCAAGAGGGTGTGGAAACAGAAGGAAACATAATGATTACATCAATAATGAATTCGGTCAAGAGCTACATCAGGTGTGATGCAGATAGGCTGAGACCAAAAAAAAAAATCTCAGAAACAGAAAACAATGTATCCAAGAAATCCATGATATGGACCCACCTGAGCGTGCTAACGGAATAGCAATGCTTCCGTTTCCCAACAGCAGTATCCAGGAAATCCACTTAACCGTGAGAGTAAGAAGCTGAATCAAGCAGAGATCAGACAGCAGAGCTTCAGGTAACAAGTTTGCTTTTAAAAAAGCAGCCATTAGAGAATTTCTCAAACTGTTAGCAAAAGTTCGCAACAGTTTGCCCATTCCTTAATTTGAGAACTTTCTCCCCTCCCCTCCTCTAACAATTTTCTGAGCATCAAGGAAAAAAGACACCTTTGTTCCACACCCCACCCGTCCCAAGTCCCCCTCCCCTGCCTGGATACCTATCTTGTATTCATCCTTGCTGCAGGTACCAGACCCAGCGAGTGTCCCTCTTAGTTATCATGGGCTAGTCTCTCGCAAGCATGGACCTGGGTCTCCCATGTGGACTAGAACTCGAGCTCTCCCCTTTCCTTGCTTTCTTTTTGGTTCCTTATTGCTAAGTGCCGTTGGGTAGGTTCTGTCTGGCTCATGGTGACCCTGTGTGCAACAGAAGGAAATGTCATGCTTGTACCTGCCAATTGTCAAGCGCGAGCTCTCGTGCAGCCACTGTATCAATCCACTTTGTTGAGGGTCTTCCTTCATATATTTTATTTACTATCCATCTCCCCTGCCCCTCTCCCTAACACTTTTGAATGTAAATTGGGGAAGGGATATTTTTGTCTGATTCATTCTCTGTTGTATCTTCACTGACTCAAACCAGTTGCTATAGAGTCTATCCCTACTCACATACTGCCAACTCCACTGCCATCGAGTTGATTCTAACTCATAGTGATCCTATATGGGGATTCTCAGACAAAGCCTCTTCTTTCTCTTGAGGAGCATCTGGTGACTTTGAACCACTCACTTTGTGCTTAGTTGTATTGGATAATGTCATCACACATTCACACCTGACGCTCAATTTCTTGGGTTTTGTTGGGTTGGGTTGGGTTTGGCTTTTAAGGTTTATGGGTTTTGTTGTTGCTGTTTTTGCTAATGTAAGCAGAGAAGTCTGGTCCATAACTCAACCTGCCCGAGTTTGTTCTAGTGATAGGGCCAAGAGGGGGCCAAAGCTCTTTTCCCATCAGTGACTTCTCAAAACCCAAGGACATCTTCCATAAGGCATCAATATGCATCTGACATCCAAAAAATTAATGAAAGCTATCTTGATTCTTCCACTTGGAAGCAGAGGGTTTGTTATGGACTATGTGTTATGTAGCGTCCTTATTTGGACATTCTTCAAATGGAAGAAAGTCAGTCTCGGGAAGCCAGTCATCACTAGGAAGCAAACTAGGTTTTACCACAAAGGCAGTGCAAACTATTTGGTTTTTCTTTTTGGCTTTGGCACACACCAGACCCGTGTCTTTCATGAGCAGCCTCCCAGCACCGTCCAGTCTGCATGCCTATCCCCGGACTAAAAGATTCCAAATCGAAAAAAATCCGAATCGAAAGCTGCTGGTATCCTTGAACTGCTAACCTTGTGGCTAACAATGCAACGTGCAACCCACTACCGCACCAAGGCTCCACAAGCGATTCGACACGCAGTGCTTATTAAATGACGTAGGCACTCACGAACTGGCCACCAGGGGGCGACAACGAGAGTGGGCGGAGGCGGAAGTGGGGAGAGGAAGTGAGGGCTTTAGGTGAGGTTCCGCGATTCTAGAGCTCACTCGGCCACCGTACTACGCAGACCGGAAGAGAAGAGCGGACCCACTTCCGGCGCCCAGGGACCGGTAAGAAGGCCTTGGTTCTGTTGGAAGCTGAGCCCCAAAGCCTTACGGGAGCTCCCTGGCGGAGCGTAAGCTCCAGCCCGGGGGTCCTAGGCCTCCGTGCGGACTGGGCCTCCAGCTCAGCTCCTCTTCAGGCCCCGGAGCAGGGAGCCGGCGTCGCCATGGCGACGTCGGAGGGGCTGGAACGCTGGGTGCGAGACGAGCTGCACTCGGTGCTGGGCCTGAGCGAGCGGCACGTGGCCCAGTTCCTCATCGGCACCGCTCAGCGCAGCGCCTCGGCCGAGGATTTCGTGCAGCGCCTGCGAGACACCGACACCTTGGACCTCAGCGGGCCCGCCCGGGACTTCGCGCTGAGACTCTGGAACAAGGTGTCCGGAAGGGCGGGGTGGACACGACGGGGGCGGGCCCGGGGCGGGAACGGGGGTGGGGCCGGGCCGCACCCCTGCCTTGGGACTGCGGTGGAGCTTGGACCCAGAGCGACCTTTAGGGGGCAGTGACCTTCTGAGAACTGCCCTTAAAGGGTCAGAGACGAAGGGTTTAGCAGCCTAGGGCCTAGCCCCCGTGCCACCGGGTGTAAGTTCGGTTCACAAGTTTGTCTGTGGTCTCCCAGCTGCTGTGCTAGAGGCTGGGTGCCCGGCTCAGTGGAGAACATTCGTGCCGTGGGTGGAGAACTCACTCCCTGCCATCAAGCCGATGCCAACTCACAGCGACCCCATAGGACAGGGACACTTGGCCCTGTGGGTTTCCGACACTAACATTTTACAAGAGGAGAAAGCCCTGCCTTTCACTCGCGGAACGGCGGACGATTTCGAACCGCAGACCTTGCTTAGTAAGCCCAAGGCATGACCCCGATGTCAGACCTCTGATATATTGAACCGTGCATCTGACTGATAGTGACCCGATAGGGTGCAGTCTAACGCGCTCCCCGTGGATTTCCGAGACGAATTTTTTTTTTGCTTCACAGTTTTATTGGCACATAATCCACATAGTTTACAATTCAATCGTTCAATCATGTTAAGAATTGTACTGTCATCACCACAACTAATTTTAGAACATTTCCTCTTAGACACGATTAAATCGCTTTTAAAATGAGTTCTAGAATCACAATCAGCTCTAGTGTTTCCCTCCCCCTTCCCATATACATTGTTTGCTCCCCTAACCCCTACATCTCCTATAAACCCCCTGCATCCGTTATTATCGCTATACATCTACTCCTTCCATGCTTCCCAAACTGGAAAACCCAACAGAAACAATAAAAAATAAAGTGGTAAGGATAAAATAATAGTATAAAAGTACAAATAATGAGTAAGAAAGAAAAGGCCACCATCAGTATATAAAAAGCCAGGGAATAAATTTTTATGATGGAAGCAGGAAATACATGCACCTAGAGAAATTTCAGGTCAGAGACACACATCTTGATGGCAGTAGAAAGCCGCCTCTTTCTCCCTTGGGGTGGCTGTTGGTTTTGAACTGCTCACCTTGTGGTTAGCAGCCCCACTCAGAAAATGTCGTGGCATCAGGCTGTGAGTCAGCCTTGACTGGATGGCAGGGAGTGAGAACAAGCTTCCAGGTGATGGGGATGCTGCTGGTCCACTGACCACACTTTTGAGAGGAAAGCATCAATGCGATGCTCGCGCCGTGCTGTGGGAGGAGAAGGGATGTGTGGCGATCAGGGAAGGTAGGTCCAGAGATCCGCTAGAGTATCAGGTGGAGAAGGGAGGCTGGAGTAATGGTTGAAATGGTGAGATAAGACAGGGCCATGTGAATGTCATGACTGTATCCCTACTACTGAAGTACTTGTCTAGGGAGTCCTGGGAGCAGTGCTGGGTAGGTGTCAGCAGTGTAAGCCTCACCTGCTGCTCCTTGGGGGAAAGTTGGGGCCCATCTGCTCCTGTACAGTGGATGTGCAGCCTCAGACACCCTGTAGAGCAGCGGTTCCCAACCTTCCGACGGCCGGGACCCTCGAATACAGTTCCTCATGTGGTGGTGAGGTGACATTACTTTCATTGCTACTTCATCACCGTCATTTTGCAAGTCAGGCGATCCCTGTGAAAGGGTCGTTCGACCCCCAAAGGGGTTGTGACCCACAGGTTGAGAACCATCGCTGTCGAGGGACACAAGGTGGTGGAATCAACTTGATGGCGGTGGGCAAGGGTGAAATTGTCCAGCAAAGTCCGAGGATGGCAGCCAGCGGATGAGGCTGTGGCATATGGCGCATGGGTAGAGATGAAGTTAGAATGTTAGTGCCATGAGGGCACAGTGCATGTGGCTGTTCACCAGTTTACCCTGGGAGTCGGACACAATGCAGGCTGTGTGACAAGGAGCTGGTAAGGCTTTTTGTAGGAATGGCCCAGTCGTGGGGCAAAGCAAAGCCGGGAGAAGGAAGCTGAGGACCTGAGCGTTGGGCTTGCGAGGATCAGGTGCACAAGGACAGGGCTTTCGTCCTTTTCCATCTAGCCCTCTGTCCAGAACCCAGAATGATGCCTGGCGCGGAGCAGACGTCAATAAGTATCTGCTAAAGGGGGGCCTGTGAGGACATCCGGAAACTCAGGGACCCATGTCAGCCTCCGGGGCATGGTGTGAACCCCGGGAACGAGAGAGGGTGAAGGTTGCTTGCAGTCAAGTAATTCCTCAAAGGGAAATGGACTTAGGCGGAGGGCCAAGAAGGTGGGCAGAGATCAGACGCGGCTCCCACCCCTTCTCCTCACCTCTGCTGACAGGTACCACGGAAGGCGGTGGTGGAAAAGCCAGCTCACGCAGCTGAGCGAGAGGCTCGGGCCCTGCTGGAGAAGAACCGGTCGTATAAGTTGCTAGAAGACAGCGAGGAGAGCAGTGCGGAGACCGGGGGCAGGGCTGGGAGCAGCTTCAAGAAGAAGCGGAAGAAACGGAAGCACCTGAGGAAGAAATGCCAGGAGGAGGAGGAGGAGGAGGAAGAGGCCTCTGAGAAAGACAGGAGGAAGACGGGGTAAGTTCGAAGCCAGGTGAGTGGGGCTGGGGCGGGCCGGCTGCCTGGAGCCCTTAGTTATGCTCTGGCTGGGGCTGCAGGGACAGCAGGCAGCAGGCGGAGAAGCCAGAGTCGGAGGATGAGTGGGAGCGCACAGAGCGGGAGCGCCTGCAGGACCTGGAGGAGCGCGATGCCTTTGCTGAGCGAGTTCGGAAGCGGGACAAGGACCGGACTCGCAATGTCCTGGAGCGGTCAGACAAGAAGGTGTGTGGGAGGCGCAATGTCCCGGCAGGCCCCACGAGGGTCGGTCGGGCTGGTCGCTGAGCAGGGACTGTCTGGTGAAGGTTCTCTCTGCGTGCCGTACCTTCAGCTGTGGAGATTCCTATTGAGCGGGGACGTTTCCTTGTGCAAGGGTGCCTCTGAAGGGGCCTTTGCGATTCTAGAGGGAGAAAGACGCTCCGACTCCCAGGCCCTCACTCTGCTTTCATCTTCCAGGCGTACGAAGAGGCTCAGAAGCGCCTGAAGCTGGCTGAGGAAGACCGGAAAGCCATGGTGAGCCCCAGGGCCCAGGCAGCTCCCGTCAGAAGACAGAGGGCAGTCTTTTCTGCTGGGGAGGTTTAGGGAAGAGACAGAGGAAGGGCTCTGGGTTTGTGGATGGAATAATCGGGCCTCCAGAGAATGAAGGTTAGTGGACAAGAGCCGTCTGGCATGGAGGGGCTTGGAGAAAGCCATTGTGCGGATGTGAGTTATAGAGGGATGGAATCCTCGATGGCAGCTCTCCACACGCCATCCTTGACTCTACTGTAGCATCAGACCACTGTGTGTTAGGGAGATGGGAGCCTTCTCTTTGCCTGGGACCTCCAGGGATACAGCCAAAGGCAGCCGCCATGTGTCACAGGGTGGCTGGAGGGCAAGAGCAGGGCAGCTGTCTCAGCTCCCGGGGCTGTGCTGACAAGTCATCTCTGGGTATCTCCATCACCTAACCCCGACATCCCCATGGGGCTGTGGGAGCGCCCTATGACTTTGAGAGGTGGTCTTTTCACTGGACAAGGACAGAACCCCTTGCCCATGACAGAATTCATGAGCCAGACTCCTCTGGTGTGAGTCTTGGTGAGGGAGGCAGGCTCCCAAAGTCCCGATTTCCCAAGTAGGTTGCCCTGGGACTCTTTTGAGAATCTTGGCATCTGAAGACTCGCTTGTGGGCCCTCTGGTCCCTCCTGACAAGTCCATCTCCTGTCCCCGCCCACGAAGGGACGCTGGTCTGAGATAGCCCTGCATGCGCTCATAGTGTTTTCCTTCGCCTGCCTGAATTTACCCTTGTTTCTCAGCGAGGACAAGTTTCAAACAAATAGAGAAGCTGAAAGACTAGTAGAGGGAGCCCTCTGGTGGTTTCCTGGGGATTCCAGAGTTGCTAATCCTGTGGGGTGTTGGCCATCTCTCCTCAAGTGGAGGCCAGTCGGCTGTTGAAGAGTTGTGGAGACGCGGGTAGGTGAGCCTCACGTCCCAGGAGTGAGGACATTCTGCTTGAGCTCTCCCTGCTGCCCTCACACTAGGAAGACAGAGCCGTGATTCTCATGGCTCAACCGAGAACCAGCCCACAACCAGAAGGACCCCAAACAGTTTTCCATTCCGGAATCCAGCCGGAGTTCAGGAGCTGCCTGTGGCTACGGAGCTTCTTTGGCTTGTTTACGTTCTTCCTGTTTCTCTTACTTTCTCGTCTCGCATGCCATCCTACGTCTGCATCTGTCTGATCTCCGTCCCCTGGCATCAAGCTCTTCCTTCAAGTGCTTCCTCTAGACTTTCAAAGCGGACGTTCAGTCTAAGTTTGCCTGGACTCCATTTAAGCAGCGTGGTAGGAGCTCCCCTTGGGTGGTAATGTACCCTGCACATTCGGTCACACATGGGGGAACACCGCGTGCCTGCTGATGTGCCCATGAGTACAGATGTCCCTTCCACCCACAGCCTCTCATCTCGTGGTTGCCAGCAACCACTGCGGGGCCTTTCCGGCCCAGGTTATCTCGTTGGCATTAACCAATGGTCATTTGGGGGCTAGAAGCCCTGGGAGCATGGTGCTTAGGCATTGGCTGCTAACTGCAGCTTTAAACTGGCTTGGTCAGCAGGTTGAAGCCAGCCACCAGCTGCACTGTGGGAGAATGGTGGGGCTTTCTCCTCTGCATAAAGTTCCAGTCTGGGAAGCCCACGGGAGACTTCTGCCCATCCTATCAGGTCGTTACGAGTTGGAATCAATTCGATAGCCATGGTTTGGTGTAAGTTTTAGTTTGTTCCTTCTAGCATTAAAAAAGAATAGTTTTCTTTTTTTGTTTGTTTGTTTTTTTTTGTTTTAACATTTTATTAGGGGCTCATACAACTGTTATCCCAATCCATACACACATCAATTGTGTAAAGCGCATTTGTACATAGTTTCTCATAGTTTTACTTTCTTAAAGTGTAAGTTGACATGGAGCATTAGATTTCCATTTAAATATCTGTACACATTTGTTTCTGTGTTGCCGGGGACACGTTTCACATCGTTTGTCATTCATCCCAGTCTGGTTGTACCATTGCTGTTGCTCTAGCTGCCCTGCCTCAGTACCTTCTCCTCTTCGCTTTAGAGTACATTTTGGCCGTATGATCTTCTCTAGATGATTTTTTTTCCCTCTCTTTTTTTAAATCGTTTTATTAGGGACTCATACAACTCTTATCACAATCCATACATACATCAATTGTGTAAAGCACATTTGTACATTCATTGCCCTCATCATTCTCAAAACATTTGCTCTCCACTTAAGCCCCCAGCATTAGGTCTTCATTTTTCCCCTCCCTCCCCACTCCCCCTTCCCTCATGAGCCCTTGATAATTTATAAATTATTATTTTGTCATATCTTGCCCTGTCCAACGTCTCCCTTCACCCCTCTGCTGTCCGTCCCCCAGGGAGGAGGTCACATGTAGATCCTTGTACTGGCTTCCTCTCTAGATGATTTTTAAGGAGCCCTGGCAGCCTAGTGGTTATATCTTGGACAGCTAACCGAAAGGCCACAGTTCAAAACCACCAGCTGCTCCGAGGGAGAAAGACTGCTTTCCACTCCCGTAAAGAGTCCCAGTCTTGGACGTTCACTGGGACAGTTCTACCCTAGAGGGCTGCTGTGAGAGCCGGCATCTACTGGACGGCAGCAGGTGTGAGTTTCTGAGATGATTTTGTAAAGGAGCTCATGACTCACAGGTGACATCTTTGTCTCATGAGCTAACCTATAATTTAGCCCAAAGGTGACCTTAGGGGTCGTTTCAGTTCAGGGTTTGAAGAATACCTCAGGACAATAGTCTTGGGGAGTTTTCTAGTCGTCCGGTCCAGTAAATTTGGACTTTAGGAACTTGAATTCTTTGGCCCCGTTTTCCTTCTGTTTTGTTAGCCTCTGTCTGTTTTGGCTCTGCTCCGACTGGTCATTGCTGGTGGTCGGACACCATCTAGTTACTCTGGTCTCGGGGTAGAGGAGGTCATGGTTTGTGTAGACTACTTTCTTTAAATCTCCCATTTCCATCTTTGTCTTTGTTCCAGATAAGGAGAGCTCCCTGTAGCTATTTCTTAGGGGGTTGCTCACAAACTTTTGGCTCTCATTTTTATATGAAGAGGAGCGTTTTCTCAATGAGTAGGGAAACGCTTACATGCCTTCTGAAGCTTAAGCTCACTGCCATTGATTTAATCCCAATCACAGCCACCCCATAAGACAGTAGAACTGCCCCTGTGGGACTCCAAGACCGTCAATCTTTACAGGAGTTCACAGTCTCAGCTTTCTCATACCCTTCGGAAAAGGAAGGGGGTGTGTTTATTTCCCATTAATTACCAGCTTTCAGAGCAGGGAGTTTGATAAAACAATTAACTTCATTGATGATACACGAGCAATTTCCTCCATTCTCTTGGAGTATGTGTTTGACCCCTTTGGACGTGTGGGTTTTATTTTTGCTATATTACAGTCTCTCGTGTCATTATGCTGTTTGATATTCAGATTGCTCTGAGCGTGCGCGTGTGCACACATGTTTTTAAACAACCCACCTGCCTCCGCCATCAGGCTGAAAGGTGGTCTTGGCGCTGGTACCCAGATCAGGTCACGGTTGTAAACTTCCGCTTCAAGCCTTTAAGAAAAGCCACGCAGTGAAGCGGAGTCTGAGAGGGGTAGGGGACTGGTGGGGGTTGCCTCTGCAAGACCTTGTCGTCACTGGAGAGAGCGCTGTGAAAGCAGAAAGGGCCTTGAGGAGATCGCTAATCAGCTCCTGCCCTCCATCATGTGTCCTGAGACAAAGGTCAGTGAGTGTGCGCCAGACACGGCAACCCCGAGCCCACTCCCCACCCCTGGTCAGCCGGCTGCTCCACCTTCCCCTCCTCCCTGCACCACTTTTACTGGCTTGAACCTCCGGCCTCGGCTGGCCACCCTCAGCCCTAGCCCGGGCTCAGCTTGGAGCCGCAGTGGCCCTCTGCCGCCCCTGAGCCTGAGCCTGGAGCCGGAGCCGCTGTGGAGTGTCCCACCTTCTGCAGAGCCCTGCCCTGCAGCTCCCTGTCTGACTCTGGTGCCCTCCACTGGAGGCCACTTCCCTGCACTGCTCGCCGTTCTTGCACCCACTCTGCTGGATTCCGAGCATCTAACGTCATGGCGTGTGCTGTTGTTTGGATGGCTTTTCCAGAAAACTACAAGGGAGCTACGTCTTTGGAACCGTTACCTTTAAAAATCTTTCGTGTGAACTTAGGTCTCCCTGATAATTTTGTCTCATTTGGAAGTAAAAATGAAATATATTGCCCATGCCATTCTGAAGACCTCACCCATTGTCTTCTGCCTTTTACCCATTTTTCTTTCTGAAATATTTTGGAATCTTCACTTTATTTCTCATATTTATAAATTGTCAATTAATTGGCACAAAAGCATGCCCAGACTTATTGTAGGTTTGATTCCAGCCACTGCAATAAAGTGAATATCAAAAATTTTTTTAAAAAGTAAAAGTGTGGAAGCCAAGTGACTCGTGTGGGAGAGAGGGTATCCCAGAGAGTTAGGTGCCCCTAATTACAGTGTGCCTCAGAATTACTCTCTGATCTTCTAATTCCAACTTTCTGTATCTAATTGATTTCCCCCCCTTCTCAAACGGCATTCATTGGTTTTAGGACCAGGACCATGTCACTGGGGCAACGATTGCCTGTGGTGGGCACCCCCATGCATTCCTTCTGTCTGTCTTTTCCCTCTGAGGCCTGTGCTTCTTAAATACGGGTGTCAGCCCTTGGGTCTGAAGGTGAGGTCTGACCTAATCTCATCATTGCCTTCCTGACTAAGCTGGCAAAGTGGTGATGCTGACTGACCAGAGGGGCCTGGGCGGCGGCTGGGCGCTACTGCTGCAGGGCAGTGTGGGCTGCCAGCGTGTCTTGGGTAGAAGTGGGAATCCAGGCCACCAGCTCTAGGGAAAGTCTGTTTCTCTTTGTCTTTCAACGTCTCCCAGGGCATCTGCCTTTCCTCCACGGGTATTTGCTTCCCTCTGTGTCTGTGCTGCCACTGTTTCACTGATATCACAGAGAAAACCCTAGTTCCAAGTGGGATTGTGTCCACAGGTCCTGGGGTGGGGTGCTAGGAAGTATTTTGAGGGGACACAGTACATAACCCAGCATGTGGCATTCCCAGGAGGCCCAGGGCAGGGCGCATCGAGGTGAGTCCTGTGGGGTGTTGAGAAGGGGGGAGGGCCCCAGTGCTTCACTCTTGGAGGGAGGGAAGGACAAGGTGGTTGCTCCAGCAGGGGAGGGGCTGACTGCCCCCTCTGACCCAGGTGCCCGAGCTGCGGAAGAAGTCTCGCCGAGAGTACCTGGCCAAGCGGGAGCGGGAGAAGCTGGAGGACCTGGAGGCGGAGCTGGCTGACGAGGAATACCTCTTCGGGGATGTGGAGCTGAGCAGGCACGAGCGGCGGGAGCTCAAGTACAAGCGACGGGTGCGGGACCTGGCCCGGGAGTACCGGGCGGCTGGGGAGCAGGAGAAGCTGGAGGCCACCAACCGCTACCACATGCCCAAGGAGAGCCGAGGCCAGGTGAGGTGAAGGGACCCCATCCCGGCGCGAAGGAGCGGGACTGCTGTTAAGGCCGCCGTGAGGCCTCACTCTGCCCCCTCCACAGCCGGCGCGAGCTGAGAGTGTGCTGGAGGAGGAGTCGGTCGCGCCTGGGGAGGAGCAGCGGCGCTGGGAGGAGGCCCTGCTGGGAGCAGCGTCCCTGAAGGTCGGGGCCCGAGACGCTGCCGCCCAGGAGCCGCAGTACCAGCTGGTGCTGGAGGAAGAGGAGACCATCGAGTTTGTCCGGGCCACCCAGCTGCAGGGCGATGAGGTGGGGGGTGGGCTGGGTCTGAGGAGGGTCCGACGCGGGCCCTGGAGCACGCACTCACCTCCTCCTCCGTCCTCAGGAGCCCTTGACGCCGGCCCCGCAGAGCCAGGCCCAGCAGAAGGAGCCCATCCAGGCCGTGCGCCACAGCCTCCCCGTGTTTCCATTCCGAGAGGATCTCCTGGCGGCCATTGCCAGTCACCAGGTCCTGATCATTGAAGGCGAGACCGGCTCGGGGAAGACCACCCAGATACCCCAGTATCTCTTTGAGGAGGTATGCGCCCACCCCCACCCCCCACTTGACCTGTGGAGTAATGGGTTCCCTGTCTTTCCCACGGAAGGTGAGGTTCTGGAGAATGCACAGAGACCATCCCTCCTTCAGACCTTTCATCTTAAATCCTACCAGTCGGCATGCTAGCTGAAAGGAGCAGAGAGAGAGAGAGAGAGACCGAGAGGGGGTGGGGGGAGCACGAGGGTCTCCGCCGTAGCACCACGGGCCTGCAGGAGCCACAGGATGCCCAGTGAAAGACACGCTTTCCTGGGTTCTTCCCTTCGGTTCCCGTCCCTTCTGGATGCCACCACTTGATTTGTCCTTCCCCTGCTCGGCTCTTGGTGCAACCTGAAGGTGAGCACCCGGAGGGCTGGGTCTTTGCGGCCGAGAGGAGCCCAGTGCGGGTCCTGGGGTGCCAGTCTTCTTGCCCGGTGTTTGGCGGTGCTCTGTCCCCGCCTCTCCTCCAGCCCCGCCCTGCTCTCCCAGCTGCTTTCTCTGAATGGCGCAAGGACCCCAGGGCGCTGCAGATCAGCCTCTACTTCCGCTCTGTCGTTCAGGGTTACACGGAGAAGGGCATGAAGATAGCCTGCACCCAGCCCCGAAGAGTGGCGGCCATGAGTGTGGCAGCCCGCGTGGCCCGGGAGATGGGCGTGAAGCTTGGCAATGAGGTGAGGCCAGCAGCAGGCCGGAGGGATTCGGGGCCTTGGTGCCCGGGATTCTGCCCACATCGCCCTCAGGACTCCTCATCTCCTCGCCCCAAGTTCCCTGCTGGGAACCCCATCCCATTCTCGGTCTCCCTGGCCAGGTTGGCTACAGCATCCGCTTTGAGGACTGCACATCGGAGCGTACCGTTCTCCGCTACATGACTGACGGGATGCTGCTCCGGGAATTCCTCTCTGAGCCTGACCTCGCCAGCTACAGGTACGCCCAGGATCCCGCCCACCTCCCGCCCTCCGTTTACCAACCCCCCAGGGCCTTGCTGGGTCTCCCCTGATGAGACCCCCAGTTCTCAGTTGGGCAGGAGAGAGGTGAGGCGGTCTGCTCCCATCGAGATGTGCAGCCTCAGAAGCTGTGCAGTGGCAGCAGCTCAGGTTATCAGGAGCTGGGGTGGGGGGGTGGAGCTGAGACTTCAGAGCGCACCTCTCCCATCCCTCTGCTCTCTCTGGCAAGAGCAGCTGCTGACCCTGAGCAGATAGATCCTCGAGGTGTCTGGCCTCAGCTCACAGCCTTCAGAGCTGGGCTGCTTGTGTCAGCCGAGGCTGCAGGTGAGCACAAGTCCTAGAATTCTCTGGGTGCTCGTCCTATGTAACTGGAGGGTCGACTTCTCCTTGGAGCCCCACATTCACTGCTGGGGAAGAGGGACGGGAGGGGTGAGCTTCCCTCTCCCCCAGGGCACCTCAGCCCTGTCTCCAGGCCCGCAGTGCACTCACAGCTCCCTCACAGCCTCGTGCCGTCCCTTCCGCAGCGTGGTGATGGTGGATGAGGCCCATGAGCGGACCCTGCACACCGACATTCTCTTTGGATTGATCAAGGATGTAGCTCGCTTCCGGCCAGAGCTCAAAGTCCTGGTGGCCTCCGCCACACTGGACACTGCCCGCTTTTCCACCTTCTTCGATGATGCTCCTGTCTTCCGGATCCCCGGACGCAGGTTTCCGGTTGACATCTTCTACACTAAGGTGCGTCCTTGGGCTCAGCCTGCGGCTGGAAGCTGGTCCTCCAGGGAAGTTGTCGTAGGGAGGAAAAGGGAAGGTTTGGCTGGGAAGGCACCCTTCCCGTGACCCCATCTCACCCTCTGGCCAGGCCCCAGAGGCTGACTACCTGGAAGCCTGTGTGGTGTCAGTGCTGCAGATCCACGTGACCCAGCCGCCGGGGGACATCCTGGTGTTCCTGACAGGACAGGTACATAAGCGCAGGGGATGCGGGGGCGCAGGGCAGATGTGTCAGCCCCCTGTGACTCCAGGGCCCCGTGTCGCCCCCTAACTCAGGAGGAGATTGAAGCTGCCTGTGAGATGCTCCAGGACCGCTGCCGCCGCCTGGGCTCCAAAATCCGGGAGCTGCTGGTGCTGCCCATCTACGCCAACCTGCCCTCCGACATGCAGGCTCGCATCTTCCAGCCCACACCCCCCGGGGCGAGAAAGGTCCGTCACAGGGGCCCCCGTTTACAGTCCTGTAATTCCTGCAACTCGTAGCAAAACCAAGCAATGGAACAAACCTGGTGGGCGTCTGCTCCCTGCCAGGCCTGCCTGTGCCCTGTGCCGCTACAGGAGCAGGGGCTCTGGGGCTGGGGAGAGAGGGCGAGTACAGGCAGCCCCGTGGTCCTGCCCAGTGCCTGAGCCCTGGAGAGCACGGGGCAGATTTAGAGGTGAGAGCAGCCCAGGGTCTTCTAGAAGGTGGGGTTTGGTCTGGACCTTTAAGAAAAATGGCAGGAGAAAGAGGAAGGGCCAAGGTGCATGTGAGGTCAACGGGATTGATCACGTGGTGAGGGAGTGAGAGAGAAGCCCAGAAAGCTTTGGACTGCAATTAGGGAGGGCCTCTGACAGCAAGCGGAAGAGGGAGAACTTGAGAGAGTGGGCTTTCACTCACAAGCACGTAGTGACCCTGTAGCACAGAGTGAGCCGTCCTGGTGGTGCAGTGGTAACATGCCAAGCTGTAACTGCAAGGTCAGCGGGTGTAAACCGTCAGAAGCTCCCTGGGAGAAAGAGGGGCTCTCTACTCCCGTTCTCCCCTGTCCTGTAGGGTTGCCCGGAGGCGGCACCCACTCGATAGCAGTGGACTTGGTATTTGGTTTGCAGGACACAGTAGAACTGCTCCCTAGGGTTTCCAAGGGTGTAAAGTTTTTTAGAAGCATACTACCTCATGTGGGGGCTATAAGCCACGGACCCTCCAATTGGCAGTCCAGTGCTTAGCCCAGTGTGCCACTAGGACTCCTCGAGAAGGCTGCTGTGTGAACAAAGCAGAGTTCCTGGCCTCCCAGAAAGTAATCTAGCGGGAAAGGGCAATTGCCATAGAAATGCGTCATCCCGGGCGCCACACCCTCACTGCCATCCAGGCAGTGCTGACTCCTAGGGGCCTCTCGAGACCCAGAGCAGCACAGCGGAGTGGCAGAGCGCAGCACGGTCTCTCCGTTGGGTGCAGGGGAGGCCTCTCTTGGAAGGTGACAGTATGGCTCAGACTGCATCAGGTGAGGGAGGGACCGGCCTGTCTGGGAGAAGTGTGTCCCCACCAGAAGGAACAGCCAGGGAGCAGTCGGCCCGCGGGGCTGGAGGAAAGTTGGGTAGAGCGCTTGGAGATGAGGTCAGAAGGCAGCCAGGGCACCAGGAGGAGTTTGGATTCAATTCTGACGAAGGATGGGACGCTGTTGGAGCATGGGGAGTGATTGCGGCAGGTGCACGTTTCTGTCTCTTACGGGGTCGGCCTGGAAGCGGAGCAAAGCCGGGGTGGAATGGGTCGGCAGCCTGCGGCCCATGAGCCGTGCGCAGCTCTCAGCACTTACTGGTTCTATTTCTTTGTAAAAATCTACTTGTGGCTCAGTTTTCACATTGTGGTGAGAGACAGGGTTGGCTCTTCCACCTCACAAGTTTGCTAACCCCTGGGTGAGAGGCCCTGGGGTAGAAGCAGGGAGTGTGTTCCGAGGCCTATGCAGGACGTGAGGTGTGAGGAGTGAACTGAAAGTAGTATGTGGAGATGGGGGCAGAAACCATCTCTCATCCCTGAAACAAACCCTAAGTCCTCGGTCTCACTTCCTTCCTGCCCACCCTGTGTCCTGCTGCCCTTGCTGTTGGCCTTTTGGCCTTGACCTCCTCCCTTGATGTTGGACGCTAGCCCGTGCTGGTTGGACTGCTCCTCTGCCCCTGCCCTTCGACGCCCAGCTTTCCAGGATGGCTTTTGCTAGGTGCTAGGAGGGCACGGTCTTGGGGTGACCCCTGTCTTTGCTCCCAGGTGGTCGTGGCGACCAACATTGCTGAGACATCACTCACCATCGAGGGCATCATTTACGTGCTGGACCCCGGCTTCTGCAAGCAGAAGAGCTACAACCCCCGCACAGGCATGGAGTCACTCACGGTCACCCCCTGCAGCAAGGTCAGCCTGGGTCTGTCTGGGCACGAGGTCTGCAGGGGAGGACGGTTCAGGCCAAACCACCCTACAGAGAAGGTGCATTTCAGAAGCTGGTCGGGGGTTCCTGGAGGAGGAGGACTCACCCACCGGCCGGATCTGCCCAGATTTTGTTCATGAGTCCTCCTCCCCGTTTATCTCTTGGTCAGCCGGCCTGTCTCTCCCTTCTGTGCAGGCCTCAGCCAATCAGCGAGCTGGCCGGGCAGGCCGCGTGGCTGCAGGGAAGTGCTTCCGCCTGTATACCGCCTGGGCCTATCAGCATGAGCTCGAGGAGACAACGGTGCCCGAGATCCAGAGGACCAGCCTGGGCAATGTGGTGCTGCTGCTCAAGAGCTTAGGTGGTGGCAGTGCTATCCGAGGGACAGGCGGGAGATGGGGCCGGAATCACCTGAGCCCTTGTGGAGGGACTGTCTGACCCCGCCACATCTCCTTTTAGGGATCCACGACCTCATGCACTTTGATTTCCTGGACCCGCCACCGTATGAGACCCTGCTGCTGGCTTTGGAGCAGCTGTACGCCCTGGGAGCCCTCAACCACCTCGGGGAGCTCACCACGGTGAGCTGGGAGGGCCGCAGGGGGAGAGGGGGGCGGTTCTGGTGACTCCTGGCGTGGTGGCAGGCCAGCTGAGGAAGGACTGGCCTCAGCGGTCTCCTTCCTCCTTTCAGTCTGGTCGGAAGATGGCCGAGCTGCCGGTGGACCCCATGCTGTCCAAGATGATTCTGGCCTCTGAAAAGTGAGCCTCCCTTCCCTCCCGCCTGCCCCTTCGCCCACAAGCTGGCTGTGACCCCGTTTGTTTCCAGCGATGATTTGTGAGCAAACTCTTACTGCCCCCCTGAAGCCCGTAAGAGGTCTTCAGACCTGCCTCTCCTCCGTCACGGTATCAAATGAGGATGGTGCAGAAAAGAAAGTGGAAGATTATCTGTTTGAGAGGGACGCTGAGTGATAGCTGGTTTGGGAACATTCTTCAGTGCACAGAGTGAACGAGGAGGTACTCCCCCAAAAAACCAGAATTTTTTCCCAAAAACTGTATTTAAATTTTTTTTTTTTTAGTTTTTTTACAAACCAACATTATCACCTTCAAAGTACTGTCCCTTACACTGCAAATCTGCGATTCCATTCTTGGGAACATTTTTCTTATTAAAAGATTTTATGGGGAGCTCTTACAGCTGTTGTAACAATCCATACATCAATTGTGTCAAGCACATTTGCACATATGTTGCCATCATTTTCAAAACATTTTCTTTCTACTTGAGCCCTTGGTATCAGCCCCGCTTTTCTCCCTCTCCCTCCCCCTCCCCTCCTCGAGACCCCTTGATAAATTCTAAATTATCATTGTTTTCATATCTTGTATCTTCCACTGTCTCCCTTCACCCATGTTTCTGTTGCGCATCCTCCTGGGTGGGGTGGCGGTAGCTGTACATCAGTCATTTATTTCCATTTTGGAAACATTGTTCAAACTCATCTGTTTGGATGGCTGAGAACACCTCCCTCGTTTTTTTCTTACATTGTCAAATCACTGTCCTTTTTCGAAGAAACAAAAGTCACACAGTGCAAGGTTAGGTGAATCAGGTGTGTGGGGCAAGAGGCATGCTGTTTATTGCCCCAAACTGGCGCACTGAGATGGCTGAGTGAGCAGGTGCATTGTCGTGGCAAAACCCGTCCCCCGTCTGCCACAAATCAGTGCGGTTTTGGGGTTTTTTCCGTACCCACTCGTATACCTTTCAACTGCCCAAACTCTCAGAAGCCCCCGGTACTCCTATCATCCCCCCCACCCTCTGGCTGTCACTTTCTGTGTCACCGTGGGGTCGACAGTTCTGGTCACCAGACTTGTAGCCAAGGCCCATCTGAGGCACATATCCATCATGCGATGATGGTTCCTTCCTCCACCTGTGACCTTGGAGGTCTTTCTTTAAATGGGTGTGCTGTGCCCTCCCTGCCCCAGGTACAGCTGCTCAGAGGAGATCCTGACAGTGGCTGCCATGCTGTCCGTCAACAACGCCATCTTCTATCGGCCCAAAGACAAGGTCGTCCATGCGGACAATGCCCGAATCAACTTCTCCCTCCCCGGTGGGGACCACCTGGCTCTGCTCAACGTTTACACTCAGGTCACTGGGCCTGCCTGGGTGAGTGGGAGCGGAGGCGCCCCAGGGAGCGCTCGCCCTGCTGTGTCATAATGCCCTTGATTCTCCCCTCCTCTTCACAGTGGGCCGAGAGCGCCTACTCCTCCCAGTGGTGCTATGAGAACTTCATACAGTTCAGATCGATGCGCCGAGCCCGGGACGTGCGGGAACAGCTGGAGGGGCTCCTGGAGCGGGTGGAAGTTGGTCTCAGTTCCTGCCAGGGGGATTATATCCGAGTCCGGAAGGTCAGCGGTTCTCCACCTAGTGCCTCCAGAGCAGGCTTCTGGGGGTGGGGTGGGGAGCAGAGCACACAGCTGCCCCTCTAGCTAAAGCTGTATTTCCCCTATCCCCCACCCCAGTGGACTGTGTCCTCCCAGACTGGTCCCCAGGGGTGGTCCACTGAAGGTGGGCCCCCGTGGGTTCATCAGGCTGCCAAGTACGGTGTGAGTGCTGAGGCTTCTCTGATTGACGTCTGGCTCCTGACTGACTCTCTGCCCTCGGCTCCCTAGGCCATCACCGCTGGTTACTTCTACCACACAGCGCGGCTGACTCGGAGTGGGTACCGCACCGTCAAGCAGCAGCAGACTGTGTTTATCCACCCCAACTCGTCCCTCTTCGAGCAGCAGCCCCGCTGGCTGCTCTACCACGAACTGGTCCTGACCACCAAGGAGTTCATGAGACAGGTGAGGGCACCCCAGCCAGGCAGGTGGAGGCTGGGGACACAGTACCCTGACAGGCTGAGAGCCCTGTTGCAAATTGTCGGGTGGGCAGAGAAACGTACATGGGTGTAAATAGGGTAAGACAGTAAGGCCCTTTTTCTAATACTTATCTCAGCATCTAAGATCTGACGAGCTAGACCATGGGTTCTGTGTTTCATTGTTGGTGTCAGAACTGGTGGGGATCACAGTGACTTCCGCCTTCACAGGGCGTACCTGCCCGTCTTGAGGCTCCAGGCTTGTGTCGGGTTATGTGCTTGGCATGCTGTAAAGCGAGGTGTATTTGCCCTTAGAGTGCAGTAATGAGAGCTTGCGCCTGTCCTAGCTGTGCAGTCACGCGAGAGCACTCGCTCGTACGCGCACACGCATTTGGGTTGGAAAGAAGGCAGTGGTACTCATCTTCTCTCCCCGCCCCTCAGGTACTGGAAATTGAGAGCAGTTGGCTTCTGGAGGTGGCACCCCACTATTATAAAGCCAAAGAGCTAGAAGACCCCCATGCTAAGAAAATGCCCAAGAAGATAGGCAAGACTCGGGAAGAGCTAGGGTAACGAGAAGAGAACGGAAGTTGAACCTGAGCCCAGCTCCTCCCCTCGCTGTGTGTTATTTAAAAATACCAAGTAAATAAAGTTATTTATGGAGTAAAGCTTCTGGGATTCAAAGATCGATTGTGACACATGGTCAATCTATCATATTAATGTATCACTTTAGCTTTATTATTTACAAATTAAATTACACAGCAGCTTTACACAGGATGAGATGGACAGACATGACTGACAGAATCGGGGAAGAATCCGGGCCTGCTTGGCTGTGTCCACCCTCTTGTGCGTTGTCTTCAGTGCCACCTCCACCCTGGCTTCCCATCAAGCCTTGGGGCACAGGTGTACGTTGGGTTCTGGTTCCGACAGTCCCAGGGCTACCAGGGCTCCCACGAGCAGTTTCTTCACAGGTGTCGGCGGTGAGTGTGA